TAGTCCTGTTTCTCTGACTGTGACTAACTGGATGTGCTCTCTTCATCCTCTGACATGGGAGCTGGCTGCTTCTACTGCAGGTTGTAAAGTTCCTTGAGGTGATGTGTTTTAAATTATGCTATAGAAACAAACTGAACTGAATTATTGTGTTCTGACCAGATCCTTTTGGATCAGAACCCGGTACAGAAAACCCTACAGCTCACTAAGGGTTGATAGCGTGCTGTTCTGGGCTTGGTGAGGACCACCAAGCCTGCATCTGAGCCCCCTGAACATCTTCATAAGATAGAAACTTACCAACACAGCATTTTTCCTCTGAGATGCAAACAGCGCCAGGACACCCGGGGAGGCCAGAACCTGCCAGGAAGAGGAAGAGGTTTGGATGAAACAGCCGGTCCCAGATAGAGCAGAACCCTGCAGGCCTGGAGCTCCAACAGAACCTGAAGCTCCAACAGAACCTGGACCTGGAGAATGAGGATAGATCAAGGAAGCAGGTCTGGTACCTTACAGGTCCGATGGTACCAGAACATCAGCAGAATTTGATCTACTGGTTAAACTGGGAAATCCACCACCATCATCATCATCATCATCATCATCATCATCATCATCCTATGAAAGAGCTGCTCTTCATCCAAACCTCAGATTCAGCATCTAGAACTCTAATATCTATCAGGTCAAAGCAGAGCAGCTGACTGGTTTTAATGGAAAAACAAACATGGGCCCAGTAGAACCAGTGCGCGGCCGGTACTGACCAGTGCTCCCCATAGCGGCATCCTGCTGCTGCTCAGCGGGGTGTTCTTGCGGAAAACCGCGTCCATGAAGCCGCAGACCACGCAGAGCCCCGCGCAGGCGATCTGGAGGACGCCCAGAACCAGAACCGCTCTCTGGTTGAAGATGAAGTACCGGTACCGGTCCATTGTCCGCCTGGAAGTCCGCTGCTGGGTCTGAGGCGGCTCTGAGGGGAAAGTTCTGGTTCTGGGTGGATTCCAGTGTCTAACATCAAAGAACCGAGCGGTTCCGGTTGCAGCGGAGGGTTCGGTGACTTTCTGTGTCTGACCAGGAGGCAGGAAGTTAGTTTATCCATTAACCTGCTGACCAGGTGGGAGGGGAGGCCCCGCCCACAGGAGCAGGTGGGAGGCCCCGCCCACATGCTGTTGTTCAGAAGCAACAGGTGGTGTAGGGTCAGCTTCAGCTGATTTCTGGGGTCAGACTGGGACCTTCAGAGGGGGACTGGTTCTGCTCCGCACCGAACCAGCTCAGATCCTCCTCCTCTCTGTCCATGGAGGAGACCAGCAGCTTCACTGGTTCTGTCTGAAAACCTGGAAGCTGAGCAGGAGTTTG